CTACACACTGGGGTCAGTTGGGGAAAAAGGGGAGGGACGGTGGGGGGTGGGGAGTTGGGGAGAGATAGCAAGGGGAGAGATGCCAGATGTAGGTGATGGGGAGGAAGGCAGCAAATCACACTGCCACGTGTGTACGTATGCAACAATCTTGCATGTTCTTCACATGTACTCCAAAACCTAAAATGCAATAAAATAAATAAATGGGGAAAAATAAATAAAAAATCAAGTCAAGATGTTTTAAAGTCTTAAATATATGACCTGACAATATAAAAACAGTAGACGAAAACCTAGGGTAAACTCTCGTGAACATTTGTCTAGCAAAGAATTTAGAACTGAGACCTCAAAAACACAGGTAAAAAAAACAAAAATGGACAAATAGGGCTTAAACTAAAAATCTCCTGTGTAGTTAAATAAAAAATCTGTGGAGTGAACAACCTGTATAGTGGGAGAAAATGTTTGCAAACTATGCATTTGACAGTGAATAATATCCAAAATTTCCAAGAAAGCTCAGAAAAACTCATTGAGAACAGAAACCCCAAATAATCCCATTGAAATGTGGGCAAAGGATGTGAATAGACATTTTTCAAAAGAAGACATACAAATGGCTAATAGGCAAGTGAAAAACTGCTCAACAATCAATAATTATCAGAGAAATGCAAATTAGATCCACAATTAGATTTTTTTCTTATACCAGTCAGAGTGTCTACTATTAAAGTGACAAACAATATCAAGTGTTGGCAATGATGTGGAGAAAAGGAAACTGGTACATACTTTTGGTGAAAATGTAAATTAGAACAACCCCTGCAGAAAACAAGATAGAGATTTCCAAAAATACTAAAATAGAACTACTGCTCAATCCAGCAGTTTCACTACTGGGTATCATTTTGAAGGAAAAGAAATCAATATATCAAAAAGGCACTGCACTCTATGTTGACCGCAGGACTACTCACAATAGTCAAAATATGGAATCCACTGAAGTGTTCATCAGCACATAATTGTATAAAGAAAATGTGGTATTTGTGCACAAGAACATACATTCAGCCACAAAAAACTAATAATATCTTGTCATTTGCAACAACATGGATGGAACTTGAGGCCATTATCTTACATTAAACAAGTTAGATACAGAAAGACAATAAGATGTTTTAAATAATTGTGTACACATGGATGTAGCATGAACAATAATAGTCAATGCAGACTCAGAAGGGTGATGGGTTTGGGAGGGGACTGGATTATGCTAAATTATTTAATGGATACAATATACTTCATTCAGGTGATAGATATCTTAAAAGCTCTGACTATACCATTACACAATTTACACATGTAACAAAATTACTCCTGTACCCCATAAGTTTGTACAAATAAAAATTGTTGTTGTAGTTATTAATTTTTATTGATTTGTCTTTTAGTGTGGTTTACACATTGCAATTAGTGTTAATGTATTTTATATTGGTTGGAGTACAAAATATTACCAGTGAGTTTTATATCTCCACATGATTTCCTGTTGTTTGTTAATTTCATTTTTTTTTCAGATTGAAAAATTTCTTTACCATTTTTTAAAGACAAGTCTGGTGGTTGTGAAATCCCACAGGTTTTGTCTATCTGAGAGTGTCTTTATTTCTCCTTCATAGTTGATAGATAATTTTGCTCAATATAATAATCTAGTTTGGAAGTTTATTTTCCTTCCATCCATTGAATATGTCTTCTCACTTTCTCCTGGCCTCTAAGGTTTCCATTGAGAAACCTACTGCCAGATGTCGCAGAGCATCTTTATTTTTCCTTGCTACGTTTTTTGCTGCTTTTAGCATCTTTTCTTTATCCATGACCTTTGAGAGTTTGACATATTTTCCTTGAGGTAGTCTTATTTGGGTTGAATCTTCCTGGTGTTCTTTGACCTTCTTGTAGATGGACAGTTTTGCTTTTCTCTAGGTTTGAAAGTTCACAGTTATTACTTCCTTGAATAAAATTTTTACCCTCATCTCTTTCTCTACATCATCTTTAAGTCCAATTATCTTAGATTTGCCCTTTTGAGACTATTTTCTAGATACCATAGGTGTGTTTCATTCTCTTTTATTCTTTTTTTTCTTCTCACTGATTAATTTTGTTTGTGTTATTTGTATAAATGTAAGGAGTATGGTTTTGTTATACGAATATATTGCTTAGTGGTGAAGTCTGGGCTTTCATTGTAACCATCACCTGGATAATGTACATCATATCTGTTAAGTAATTTCTCATTTCTTACCCCTCTCCAACCCTCCCACTCTTCCAAGTCTCAGATATCTATTATTTCACTAAGTGTGCACGCTATTTAGTTCCCACTCATAATTGAGGACACGCAGTATTTGACTTACTGTTTTTTGTTATTTCCCTCAAGATACTGGCCCAAAGGCCATACATGTTGCTGCAAAATACACAGTTTCTTTTTATGACTGAATTCTATTCCATTGAATAACTTTTTATACAAGCTGTCTTCAAGCTTACTAATTACTCTTTCTATTTGATTAATAATGCATTTGAGAGATTCTGATGAATTTTCAGTTTGCCAACTGAATTTTTCTTCTTCAGAATTTCTGCTTAACTTTTTAAACTTTAATCTTTATAAAAAATTTCTCTGACAGAATTTCAAATTCCTTCTCTGTGTTATCTTTAAGTTCATTAACCTTTCTCAACACACCTATTTTCAATTCTCTGCCTGACAATTCACATATTTCTGCTACTCCAGAATTGGCCACTGGTGCCCTATTTAGTTCTTTTGGTTAAGTTATATTTTCCTGGATGTTTTCAATGCTTATGGACATTTAATAATGTCTGAACATTAAAGAGTTAGGTTTTCTTTTTTAATATTCACAGTCAGGACTTGGCTTTACCCATCCTTATTGAAAAGACTTTCCATGTATTCAAAGAGGATTGAGTGTTGTCCCGTAGGCGTATGTTCACTAAATCCATAATGACACTAGGAAACGTCTTAAGCTCAGGAATACTGCAACTCTTGCCAACTCCTAAAGGCACTGCTTTGGTGGGATTGAGTAATATAAGGGAAAACTTCCTGAGTCACTAGGTAAAATACCTCACTCTCTTCTCTCTCTTTCCCCCAATATGAAGGAGTCTGTTTTCGTGTTGAGTTGTCTAGAATTGGGAAAGGGGTAACATGAATATGCCTGTGTCCACTACAGCTGGCAATGTGCTGGGTTAAACATTAAGCTAGCACAGTACTGGGTCTCATCCAAGGCTCATGGCAACTAGTGCCTGACTAATGTTTGTAGGAGACTCAACTGCTCTTGAGTCAGAAGGTGGGAAATCCTCCTGGTACTGAGTTCTTTCCTTCAGGGCAGTCAATTCCTTTCTGGCTAGAGTGGGTCTAGAAAGGCCATTCAGGAGCTCAGGTCTCTTATCAGGGGCTTCAGGAATCTCCTTGTTGCTTCATTTTACTATAGCTGAACTGGTACCCAAGTTGCAAGGCCAAGTCCTCTGTACTCTTCCCACTCCTTTCCCAAAGCCACAGAAGTCTCTTCACCAGCTAGACTGCCTGGAGTTAAAGGAAGGATGATGCATACACTGCTTTGGTCACCACACCTAGTGTTACACTAGATTGGATGCATCCCAAATCAAATGCCTACAAGGTAACAGTGCAGCTCCAGGGTTTTTCCAAGGACTGTAGTCCTTGTGGCCTGATTGCCACTCAAATTTACTTCAGGCCTCAGGCTGTGTTAGTCAGCTAGTGGTGGAACCAGTCAGGACTGACCTCCCACTGGAGCTGAGAATTTCCCTCTCATTCAGAACTAATCTAAATGTTCCCTGCTTTGGTGCCAGCATAATTTTTCTGTGTTGCATTGCACTGGGACAGGGCAGGACTGAGTTCCAATGCAAAGTAACCCATTAACTTTACTCACTGTCCTGTAAGCATACCAATTCACTTTCAATGAGGTGCTCATGGACAATGGGCAGTGGGGGGTGGGGTTGTTGTAGGCAATGGGAGACCATTTTTCCTACTCTTTTCAATGCCTCTTTTATTAATATTATTTTAAAACCAGTTATTGTGATTACTCACTTTATTGGCTCTTATGAATGTGCTTTCTTGCATGCACAGTTGTTTTATTTGGGGTTCTTGCAGGGAGGCTGATTGGTGAAGCATTCTATTCAGCAATCCTGCTCTGCCATCACTTCCCTATAACAGGCTTATTGAGTTATAATTCACATAACATGCAATGTGCCTATTTAATGCATACAATTTAATGGGTTTTAGTACATTCAGAGTTGTGCAAAAATCATCATAATTTTAGAAGTTTTTTTTTTTTTGGAGACAGTCTCACTCTGTCACCAGGCACCAGGCTGGAGTGCAGTGACATAACCTCAGCTCACTGCAACCTCTGCCTCCCAGGTTCAAGCAATTCTCCTGCCTCAGCCTCCCAAGTAGCTGGGACTACAAGAGCGCACCACCATGCCCAGCTAATTTTTTTGTATTTTTAGTAGAGACAGGTTTTCACCATGTTGGCCAGGATGGTCTCGATCGCTTGACGTCGTGATCCGCTCATTTTGGCCTCCCAAAGTACTGGAATTACAGGCGTGAGCCACCGCACCTGACCTAGAACACTTTCATCATTCCTAAAAAGACCTCATACTCATTATCAGTCACTCTACATTCCACTCGCCCCTCCACACTCTTAAGTAACCAAGAATCTACTTTCTGTCTCAATAGATTTGATTATTCTGGATATATCATGCAAAAAGACTCATACATGTGCAATGTCTTGTTACTGACTTCTTTAACTAGGCACAATATTTCAAGTTTTATCTATATTGTATTATATATCAGTACTTAATTATTTTGTGTGGCTCAATAATATTTTATTGCATCAATGAATTTTATTTATGTACTTATCGTTTGACTTGTATTTGGCTATTATTAATAATCCCACTATAAAACTTTTATAGATGTTTTTGTCCTAACGATAATATTTTGAGAAAATACTTTTGTATTATATTTCTTGTCTTTATCTCAGGAACCCTTGAAATTTGTGGATTTGCTTGGTGACCATGGGAAACATGTAACTCCCCTGTGGGAGTTGATCAAATGGTGCCTGGGTCTGTCAGTGTACACCATCCCTTCCATTGGTATGTAAATAATCTTCTACCTAGACCAGCTTTTTTGTCCTGTAATATTTCTATATAAATTTTTGACTAAAAGCCCCATGCAAGTCCAAAATCTAGCAGGACAGTGAAATCTTAAAGCTCCAAAATGATTTCCTTAGACTCCATGTCTCACATCCTGGTCATGCTGATGCAAGAAGTGGGTTCCCATGATCTTGGGCAGCTCCACCCCTATGGCTTTGCAGGATATAGCTTTCCTCCCAGTTGCTTTCATGTGTTGGCGTTGAGTGTCTGCAGCCCTTCCAGGTGTACTGTGCAAGCTGCCAGTGGGTCTATCATTCTGGGGTCTGGAGGACATGGCCCTATTCTCACAGCTCCAGCAGGCAGTACTCCATTGGAGACTTTGTGTGAGGGCTTCAACCTCACATTTCCCTTCCACACTGCCATAGCAGAGGTTCTCTATGAAAGAATTTTCCCTGGAACACACCTCTGACTGGTCAATCAGGCATTTCCACACATCCTCTAAAATCTAGGCAGAGGTTCCCAAATCTCAATTCTTGATTTCTGCTCACGCACAGGTCCAACACCATGTGGAAGCCACCAAGGCATGGGGCTTGCATCTTTGGAAGCAATGACCTGAGCTCAATATTGGCCCCTTTTAGCCATAGCTCTAGCATGGTTAGAGGGGCTGGGATGCAGGGCACCAAGTCCCTGGACTGCACACAGCAGTGGGGCCCTGGGCCTGGCCTATGAAACCGTTTTTTTCCTGTTAGGCAAGATCATCTTTCCTGCTCTTTTAGGCCTCTGACCCTTCACTGTTCTGTCAGAGGCCTCTGATCTTGTGATGGGAGAGGCTGCCACAAAGGTCTCTGACATGCCCTGGAAACATTTTCCCCGTTGTCTTGGACATTAACATTTGGCTCTTCCTTACTTATGCAAATTTCTGTAGCTGGCTTGAATTTTTCCTAAGAAAATGCTTTTTTTTTTTTTTTTTCTTTTTCTATCCATCATCAGGCTGCAAATTTTCCAAACTTTTTTCTCTATTTCCCTTTTCTAAGGGTCTCGCTCTGATGTCTAGGCTGGAGTGGAGTGGGGCAATCATGACTCACTATAGCATCAACCTCCTGGGCTTAAGAAATCTGGGACTGCAGGGGTTCACCACCACACCTGGCTAATTTTTGTATTTTTAGTAGAAATGGGGTTTCATCATATTTCCAAAGCTGATCTTAAACTCCTGGGTTCAAGTGATCTGCTGGTCTTTGTCTCACAAAGTGCTGGGATTACAGGCATGAGCCACTGTGCCCAGCTATAATGGGTTTTTAATGATGTGAACAATACTTATGATACACTATGCTGTAGCAGAGGCTAGAAATTTTATATACAGCATTACTGAAACAAATTAGAAAGAGTTAAATGATTGACAATGGGTGATAAGATTATAAAGGTTTTTTTTTATTACTTTCTTACTTTCTCAGTGTTCTATAATGAATATGTATTACTTGAATAAGAAAAGATAAAGAACACTAGAAATTAAAATGAAGTTTATTACTTTAACTTGATATGTATTATTATTCTGTAGGACTGGCTTTGTTGGAAGAAAAGTTCAAATATAACAATGAGAAATACCAAAAGTTTAAGGCAGTGGAAGAAAGCCTGCGTAAAGAGCTGGTGGAGATGTTAGGTGATGATGGTGTGTTCTTATACCCCTCACATCCCACAGTGGCACCTAAGCATCATGTTCCTCTGACACGGCCTTTCAACTTTGCTTACACAGGTACCTAATTGTATTTCTTGCATTCTATAAATCTTAAAGAGATAGAGATGTATGTTTTGAAAAAAAAAACCATAATTTTCTTTTGCAGCTGGACAAGTTTTAATCATGCAGGTATAAAAATGTTGTGTGACTGAAAACTACAGAAAACAGTTGCTAATGTCATATGTGAAAGATACTTTGCCAATATCTGATCTGTCCACAAGAATCCTACAAGTGCATATGAGTATTTACATTTTACAGAACTGTGTCTCAGGGAGTTTCAGCCACTTGTCTTCTATCACACAGTGTTATTGCACTAGATCCAAAGTCTCCCATGGCTGCTCTGAATTAAACCAAGTTAAGCTTTCCTCAGGATCTGTGGCTTCCCAGAAGATTCTCATACAAAACACAACTCTCCAAGGAATTATTTACTCACCTTAGCTATCATCCCCTTTGAATTCAATTTGTTCTGTTGTTGACCAAACTAGTTTTTTTAAACTAGTTTTGAAGCCATGGATGGATCATGATTACGTGAGGCTTAAAGGCCCCTGGATATGTACTAGATCAGTTTCTATGGTTTCTCCAGAGTCTTGTGCCAGGGAACCACACTACTCTTTGAGATGAAGATAGAAAGATCTCCATCAAATACATGTTCACACTCAGTAAACCTGTGTTCCACTTAAACTTGGAATTCAGAATCCTTCAGTCTGCCATTTTCCATTTGTGCATCCTGGAGGAAGACACTGAATCTTTCTCAACTTGTTTCCTATCTAGGAAGTCAGAGTAATCTATGCCTTGCAGTGTTGCTGTTAAGATTAAATGAAATAATACATGTAAATTAACATAAGAGTTGTGGAGGATGAGGGAGAGCGTATAAAATAGTCCCTATCCATAATTTTCTCACTCTTAAACTCTCCTTGGCTTTAGTCACTCACTCTTAGCCTCTCCTTCCTTCCTTCCTTCCTTCCTTCCTTCCTTCCTTCCTTCCTTCTTTCCTTCCTTCCTTCCTTCCTTTTCCTTCCCTCCCTCCCTCCCTCCTTCCTTCCTTCCTTCCTATCTTTCTTTCTTTCTTCTTTCTTTCTTTCTTTCTTTCTTTCTTTCTTTCTTTCTTTCTTTCTTTCTTTCTTTCTTTCTTTCTCTTTCTTTCTTTCTTTCTTCTTTCTTTCTTTCTTTCTTTCTTTCTTTCTTTCTGTTTCTTTCTTTGTTTCTTTCTTTCATTCATTCTTTCTTTCTTTCTTTCTTTTTTCTTTCTTTCTTTCTTCTTTGCTTCTCTTTCTTTTGACAGAGTTTCATACTTGTTATGTAGGCTGGAGTACGTAATGGCACAATCTCATCTCACTGAAATCTCCAGGATCAACTGATTCTGCTGCCTTAGCCTCCCGAGTAGCTGGTATTACAGGAATGTGTAATATTCCTGTAGTATTACACACCCAGCTAATTTTTGTATTTTTAGTGAAGACAGGGCTTCGCCATGTTGGCCAGGCTGGTCTTGAAATCCTGACCTCAGGTGATTTGCCTGTCTTGGCCTCCCAAAGTGCTGGGATTACAGGCTTGTGCCACCATACCTGGCCTTAATTTCTTAAGTCTTTGAAAAAAAGTTCCTAAGTGGCTCTGTTTACATTTCCATCACCTAGTTACTCAGTTTCTGAAGACAGGGAAAACACTTTAGTCAATAGGATAGAACCCAAGGAAAAATATACTGGTTATACCTATTGGGGGGAATTTTCCTCAGCTTAAGGCTTCCCATCATTTGCAACTTTTCCCTCTGGTTTAGCCCTTGAACACATTTAGAGAGTGTCCATTGTAAGCCGGATGATATTCTAGATCATATGGATATAAGACCCATGATAGACGATAGCTGCAATTTATCAAGTACTTAAAATATATGAGATACTAGGAGCTAGAAATTCTATACATTATTTCATTTATGTTTCCTCCAAATCCCTCACAGCAACGAAGTTATATTTGTTTAAAACCTGAGGAAACTGAATGACTTATAAAGTGATTTAAAGGTCAGGGTCAAGAATGAAATTCAGTTGTATTCTATCTGACTTCAAATGCAATGTGATTTTTACTACATGCATTCGTTAATAATACTCAGTCATGTTTTGTTTTTGTTGTCCTTACTAAAGCTAAAAATATATGAGGTTTAAGAGACCTTGTGTCAAAGATGTAGAATTGTTGGATGCCAAATACATTAATGTTTTGTTCCTGGTTCTTATTCTTTCTTTTTTTTTTCTGCTAAGAAATACACTTCTCAGTTTCTCAAGCTTGTATAGGCTTCTTATGTTTGTCTCCTACTTACAAGATATGTAAATTAAATCAGATATTTAGTTTTTGAGCCTTGACTTTCTTACAGCTAAGATGAGGATGCTACATTGACTTTGCAGGATGGTTGGAAGGATATAAGAATGTGGACAGTTCTTTAAAAGTATTAATAGTGATAATAGTATCATTTATTGAACACATGCATATGTTTATGTTGATATTAACTTAGGTAATATCAATATCTCTGCTTTACTTCATGGTACTAGCTATATATATTTTCCTTGCTTTATCTGTTCCTAGAATTGTTCTGAGTTTTGCCTATCTCATCTCATTTTTCTCACAGCAGCCCTATAAGAGGGAGTAACTATTATTGTCCTAATTTTACAGATGAAGGAATTTATATAAAAAAAACTTTAGAAGGCATTTTCAAAATCACATAGCTAAGATATTATAGGAACTGGGAATTTAACCCATGATCACTGATTTCAGAGGAAGTGACAATATTTATTACTCATAAGAGGAAACAGAAGGCTGAACAGGGTCTATCAGCTATGAAGTGAAGTGATAAGAATTCAAACCCAGCTCTGTCTGACTCCAAATATTATTGCTCTTAATTAATTATTTTCCCTTGATCTTCTGCCTCACTTGGTGATCAGTAAACCAAAACACCTCCTCCTACTTTGCTCCATTGACACTCTACAATGAGAATAAACTTTTAAAGTATGTGTTGTGGACTATATTTTGTGCACTAGTGTTAGATGAGTCAGATGCATTCCATGTTCTCAGGGAGCTCTAAGTTAGGACAAGAGACAAACAAATGTTAACAGAGAATTACAATAAAAGGAAACAAAAGAAGGCTTTCCGGAGTAGGTGACCCCCTACCTGGATCTTGAAGGAAAAGTAGAAATTACTTAGAGGAACGATGTTGGGCAAGTAATACAATGGTTCAGGCAGTAGAAACCCATGAGCAATGGAACAGAAAGACACATCAAGAACACTGTGGACAGAGGGTATAAACACTACATTAACTGGAGAAAGTAAATTTTTAATGTAGGAGTGAGAGGAGGAGCATGAGTTTAAAAAGGTAAGCATGTCATGGATAACATTCACAGCCATGCTAAAAACTGCAACAAACATATATTATGTTACTTGTCTTGGCAGCCTGCTTCATCCTTTTTTCTTTGCATACTGTCACTGGAATAACACCGTAATGAAAGACTAGACTGCAGATTCTTAGAATATTTGATTAGCCTATGCCATTTCTTGATAACATACAATTAATAATGTTTTACTTCATTGTAACTCAAATAAGTTATTTACAGTTTTCTTCCACTTTGGTCCTACCACAATTATCACATAATACCTATATGTCATAATAATTGGGAGTGGTGATTACCAGGAGAGATGAAAGGAAACAGCTTACAAAAGTGGCCTTCCACTGGCTTTCTCCTCTCTCTCTACTTTAGTTTAGGTGTTTGTTTGTACTGAAAGATCTCCTGGACCATTTATATCCTGAGATAAACAGCATTGGCCATACAGCATTTTAAGGGTCTCATCCAAGAAACCCATTGATCTTGATACTAGGAATACTAAGCAGATTTTTTGTAACCTCTGCAACAACGAGCATTAGCATGAAACTCAAAATTTATATGTCAAGTTTGGCAAGATCATAACATGTCATTCTCAAGGGCCCCTTTTGTACCTATGCCAGTCATTAAAAATTGATTACAGCATTCTTTTTCTCTGAGAACAAACTTGACTTTGTGATGTTTCAACAGAATGGGCTTGGTCACCTCACCAATTGATAAGATAGACACACAAAATAAAATGTTCATGTAGTCTAAGCAAAAATTCTACATAACAAAATACCATGCTATATTTTAAGCTCCAGAAAGGCTGTAGTCTGTTTCTATCTAGTTCACCTATGTAATCCCCATTGACTAGGACATTGCATTTGCACAAAATGCATAATTACTTTTTGTTAAACTAACAAACAAATAAACACGTAAATAAAAATATGAATAAGTAAGAATGAGCCTCCCAGAATAGTTGAGTAAGAAGCTCAGCAAATTCTTTCTCAAACAAACCAGCAATAAAACTGGAAAAAGTTATGGAAACAACCATTTCAAGTGTGAAAATTGATCAAATGGTGTAAATCAAATTCAGGAGCATTTATTCAAGAAAAATTAGTGATTCCTAATAAGAAAAGTTAGAGTCTATGATATTTAAGCTGGGATCTGTTTTTTCCCCTCCACTGCTCAGTTATAGCTTTGAGTTACAAAAGTTTCACACTGGGTAGGGCAAGGCAGACCTTAAAGACTCCCAACTTCCATTCTTTCTAGACCCATGTTACACAACATCAGTTGTGGGCAAGTAGAGTATACTGCTACATGCAACAGCTTCCATTACCTGTGGCACCTTATTGTGGAAGTTCTAAGCAAGGTCATGGCAAGTCATAAGTACTTGCAACTCTGCAACACTGCCTGAGAGCGGCTGATTTTACATAGAGTAGAATATGGAAGATCTCAGATGCAAAAAATTCAGTGAAAGCAATAAATTCAATGATACTAATGTGACACATGTAGCAGCATGCTCCAGAGGTAGAGAAAAGTCAGAATCAAGAGCTGATAAAGTATATTAACTAAAGCATCTAATTTTCAATAAAAATTTATGAGGCATACAAGAAAAAAATAATGAGTCCCATATACACAAACAACAATGCCCACTCCTGACACTTGTAGCCAGCAGACCATGTCTGCTAGAGCTTCCAGCCCAGTAGTTTCTCTTC